AATGCTTACATTGAATATTTATTATTATTACTTTTCTGTATCGCCTGAATAATTAATTTGTACTATGCTTAATTTATTAGGTGATGCATTTTGAAAATAAAATGCATGGATGTTGTTAATATTTTTCATGATTTTTTAAGAATTTTTTGAACTTTTTGCCTAGCATTTTGTGCCTATTGGCCCATACGGTATCGTGAGTGTGATACATTTGTATCAATGCCCTTTGAGATAAGGATCGATATGCAACCTTGTGTTATCACCTCTTGGTTAGAACTTAGAATAAAGGGTGGGGGAATGAAAATCTTTCCATTTCTTAGGGATCATCTATTCCTTGCGTTTAGCGCCCCCGCTGCCTTCTTTTTGTCCGTATGATTTATTTTTTGACTATGAGGCACAAATACTTCGTTCAGGACAAAATATTAAAGTGCAATAATATACAAAACTACAAATTCATGACTTTGGAAACATGTCCGTCATAGTTATCAAATCGTGTATCGGAAGGCGTATCTTTTTTTAAAAATAGTGTATCGTATCGTGTATCGTAAGATACGGCACAATTTTAAATAATTAATAATAAAATATGTTTTTGAAAAAGAATTATAGACTTATAAAAACATAACATTTCATTAATATTTCACCTATTTTTCAAGTCACCAATATAATTTACTAATATTAAAAAAATAATAAAGGGTATCAAATTAAATTAATGGTACTTATATATACTTAAAAGTAAAAATTATAATGTAATGGGTATTAAATGTAATTTTTTAATGGGGTATTAAATGTAATTTTTATACTTATAACAAAAAAAAAAATTTGCACCTCTCGTGACCCACGATCGCACACACAGACAGAGAGAAGAGGGAAGAGAGAAGAGGCGAGAGGCGCTCAAAGGCGATGCCGATAGGCGATGGCGAACATACTGGTGGCTGGTACCTCGTCGCAGTTCACAGTAACGAAGACAGAGATCGTGAGACAGGGGTTAGTGTTAACAATCAACCTAGGGTTTCATCCAGTTAGTGTTGCTATTTTTTCTAATTTCAAAAATTTGTTTAATGTGCTTTTGGTTGGGTGTTTGGCTGATCTGTGGGTTTGGTAGATTGGTAATTCTTGTCTTCATCTCTTGCCTTTTCTTTGGCATTTTCTCTCTGATTTGTGGGCTTGGGTGTCTTCATCTCTGTTTTTCTGTCAATGATTTGGTGCAAATCTACAAAACAGGCTGTAAAAAAAAAAATAAAATAAAAATTAAACAGCTTTTGTGTGTATTGTTCGTATCGTACCGATACGTATCGTATCGTAAAAACGTATCGTGTATCAGACGATACAAAGCAAAAACAATACATATATACGATCCGTATCGTTTTACCTCCGTATCGTAACGTATCGTACGATACGTATCGAGTATCGTACGATACTAACAACTATGATGTCCGTGAAACTCGTTAAATGTTGGCTTTGGATTCTTTAATCAGACGTGTTCATTTTGTGGGTATTCAATGATGACACAATATATGCTTCTTTTAAAGTAAAAATTATTGGACTTTTTATACTTTGCACCCTAAAAGATTTTAAAATTTTCATTGTACATCCTCAAAGATTAAATTTTTCATATTGCACACTTAATGTATCAAAAGNACTTTTTATACTTTGCACCCTAAAAAATTTTAAAATTTTCATTGTACATCCTCAAAGATTAAATTTTTCATATTGCACACTTAATGTATCAAAAGTATTGCAATGTGACCCTTGTATTATCATATGTTATTTTTTCTGTCAAAGTCAACTCATTGGCAGTGACAAAAAANAAGCGTATCATTTTTTAAAAAATAGTGTATCGTAAGATACGACACAATTTTAAATAATTAATAATAAAATATGTTTTTGAAAAAAAATTANATTAACAGGAGGATCACATTGCAACATTTTTTATATATTGAGGGTGCAATGTGAGAAATTTAATCTTTAAGAGTGTAAAGTAAGAATCTTGAAATCTTTTAAGGTGTGAAGTACAATTTACCCAAAATTATTTAATTTTTATTTATTATTAAAGATTTTACAGAAAATTATAATCATCACATCGTGAGATAGTAGAAAAATATGAAATATTTTGTCTATGGACGAATCTTGACGATATCTATGTCTTATTTTAAAGTTTTACTGTATCACTATGTTCGTATCCTATTGCATTCATTTCACATCCCGTATCCGCATACGTGATTGGTAGTTTTATGAGCAAATTATGTACCTTGACATCAACATTGGGCGAAGTTTTGATATTAGCAAGTGAAAGTTGTAACCAGGAGTTGNACAAAAATCTGCACCTCTTGTGACCCACGATCGCACACACATAGACAGAGAGAAGAGGGAAGAGAGAAGAGGCGAGAGGCGCTCAAAGGCGATGCCGANATCCGCATACGTGATTGGTAGTTTTATGAGCAAATTATGTACCTTGACATCAACATTGGGCGAAGTTTTGATATTAGCAAGTGAAAGTTGTAACCAGGAGTTGTTGTGAATTAATAACTTGTATGGTGCTAAAATGCATGGATGTTTTTAATGTTTTTCATGATTTTTTAAGAATTTTTTGGGCCTTTTGTCTAACATTTTGTTTGTATTGACCCTTATCGTGCCACGAGTGTGACCCATTTGTATCAATGCCCTTTGAGATAAGGATCGATATGCGACCTTGTATTATCACCCCTTTGTTNGCCGAACATACTGGTGGCTGGTACCTCGTCGCAGTTCACAGTGACGAAGACAGAGATCATGAGACAGGGGTTAGTGTTAAAAATCAACCTAGGGTTTCATCCGGTTAGTGTTGCTATTTTTTCTAATTTCAAAAATTTGTTTAATGTGCTTTTGGTTGGGTGTTTGGCTGGTCTGTGGGTTTGGTGGATTGGTAATTCTTGTCTTCATCTCTTGCCTTTTCTTTGGCATTTTCTCTCTGATTTGTGGGCTTGGGTGTCTTCATCTCTGTTTTTCCTGTCAATGATTTGGTGCAAATCTACAAAACAGGCTGTAAAAAAAAAAAATTAAACAGCTTTTGTGTGTATCGTTCGTATCGTACCGATACATATCGTGTATTAGACGATACAAAGCAAAAACAATACATATATACGATCCGTATCGTTTTACCTCCGTATCGTAACGTATCGTACGATACATATCGAGTATCGTACGATACTAACAACTATGATATCCGTGAAATTCGTTAAATGTTGGCTCTGGATTCTTTAATCAGACGTGTTCATTTTGTTGGTATTCAATGATGACACAATAAATGCTTCTTTTAAAGTAAAAATTATTGGACTTTTTATACTTTGCACCCTAAAAGATTTTAAAATTTTTACTGTACATCCTCAAAGATTAAATTTTTCATATTGCACACTTAATGTATCAAAAGTATTGCAATGTGACCCTTGTATTATCATATGTTATTTTTTCTGTCAAAGTCAACTCATTGGTAGTGACAAAAAAACTAACAGGAGGATCACATTGCTACATTTTTGATATATTGAGGGTGCAATGTGAGAAATTTAATCTTTAAGAGTGTAAAGTAAGAATCTTGAAATCTTTTAAAGTGTGAAGTGCAATTTACCCAAAATTATTTAATTTTTATTTATTATTAAAGATTTTATAGAAAGTTATAATCATCACATTGTGAGATAGTAGAAAAATATGAAATATTTTGTCTATGGACGTATCTTGACGATATCTATGTCTTATTTTAAAGTTTTACTGTATCACTATGTTCGTATCCTATTGCATTCATTTCACATCCCGTAACCGCATACATGATTCGTAGTTTTATGAGCAAATTATGTACCTTGACATCAACATTGGGCGAAGTTTCGATATTGGCAAGTGAAAGTTATAATCAGGAGTTGGTGTGAATTAATAACTTGTATGGTGCTAAAATGCATGGATGTTTTTAATGTTTTTCATGATTTTTTAAGAATTTTTTGGGCCTTTTGTCTAGCATTTTGTTTGTATTGACCCTTATCGTGCCACGAGTGTGACCCATTTGTATCAATGCCCTTTGAGATAAGGATCGATATGCGACCTTGTATTATCACCCCTTTGTTAGAACTTAGAACAAAGGGTGAGGGAATGAAAATCTTTCCACTTCTTAGGATATCTATTCCTTGTCTTTAGCGTCTCCGCTGCTNGAATTACTTTGCGTACCAGGTTGTTTATCTTGTGATCACACTCTTCTATACCTTAGAGTTGTTGCTTTGTCCATGTGTTCTCCTAGGAAGTAAACTCTTCGGACTTGTGTAACATTGCAATAGTAACTGTTTCAGCTGTTATATTGGTTTTTTTTTTTTTTTTGCTTTTTGGCCCATCATGGAATTTGAACCAGTTGTACCTGGTGAAAGTATTGCATGAGAATTTCATTTCTGCCATATACCACCTTGGTATGTGCCTTGTCTTTCAAATTCTGTTGGGTTGCTAAGCAATACCTGTCATTCAGTTTGTCTTAGTACAACATTCATTGTTCAAANTAACTATGAAGCACAAATACTTTTTTTAGGTCAAAATATTTGTATTGAAATGAAATTCATCGGATACACGAATATGTGTATCGTATATGTACAATGCATATATAAAATTAGTAAAATATTTTTTATTTTTGAAAACGNTTCCTAAATTGGTGGCGATCAGTTGTATCGGTTGAACTCGTAGTTATATATTTTTATGAATCAAATATTAGACACTGGACTCGGACCGAATTATTGAGATCTTTGGCAAAATCCACAAAATCTTAGCCAAAATGCAAAAGGTCAAAGAAAAATGTAAATTGAGAAGAAAATGATGAAACCCACGTGAAAATCTGCAATGTTTCACACCCTAGATCGTAAAAATCACAGGCAGATTCACCCCATGGCAAAACAGAAGAAGGATCCAAACAATTGTGAGGCAAACTTGGCCCCTTTTGTTCTACTTCGTGCAGAAGGTAGCAGGCANATTCTACCCTGAAAGTGTGTGATTGCTAAGCAATGGTAAGTTTTTCTTTTGCTTCTCTTCTTTGCAAAATTACATGTCTCTTGCCAGATTCTTACCATGTTGCCTGTATTCTTGATGATTCGTTTACCTTCACTGCTGCACCAACAGAAACTCTTTCTTTCAAACTAGTTAAGGCATTTATTATTTCCTTTTGCCACCTTTATCTCTGATTGTTTGGTTTTAAATGCTGCGTGTTTCTTTGAACTCCGTCAACGTTGGTTCAATATGAGTTGCCTGTGGTAGTTATAGTCTTTAACAATAGTGGTGTATATGGTGGTCGACTAGAGGTGCCCTGAAAAAATTACAGGACCTTACGAAGATGATCCAGCACCGACATCTCTTGTCCCTGGTGCAGGATATCATAAACGTTACAATCGATCCAGATGCTGGTGCAGAAAGTGGGAGGTTGCAGCACCACAACTAAGGTAAGCTGTAGCACAGCGATTCATGGTTTGTTAACCCTTGTTGTTTGAGTTCGTTAATCTTTTCTGTTTGTCTAAGTGGTCAGTTAAAATTTACGAAGCCAGTGTCATGGTTATTGCTAGCGTGTAGATGCAAAGTCATAACTCCAGTTCTACTTTGGCATTAGAGGATTACAATTCATGATACTTGACCTAGTTGATGTACATTATCAACTGACTCCATCTACCGGGTGCACACTTAAGCTGATTTTGTCACGATGGAAATGCATTTTAGATATTCATATTGATCTACTTCGTGTGGTTGATAGTGTTCATTATACGCTTTTTCTATGGCACCTGTAAACAAACAGTGTATTTGTTTTGTTAGCAGTTGGATTGGTGGGTGGAAATTGGAACTGCAGCATGCTCTCAAGACTTTTGGAGGCTGAACAAAAGAAAGTTCAAGTTCTTTGAGCTAATGGTTGCATGGTACAGAGTCCTCAGTTGTTGCTCGGTTTTGTGCGTGATTCAGAGTTTTGTAATCACCTTTCCGTGCACCTTAAAAGTGGGGATTCCAATTTTTTTTTTAATGTTTATATTCTGATATTACATGTAAGATAACTACGCGGGTTAGCATTTCATGGGGTTTGAAGTCTTTTGAGACATTAATGAATGTGTATAAGCATCATTGGCTCATGTGGGCATGGGTGGTATCTTATTTGCTTCCGAAGGAAATAGTTCAATGATAAAATTGAGTTTTCCTTCTTCAAGCGACTAATTTTCTCTTTTCTATGTGTAAATTCACCATGGAGAAATTATTATGTTGCAAAAAGGGCAATTCAATATGGGAAATTTTTGTTATTATGCAATTTTATATAATGTATAAAGAGATTGTTTTAGTGATTTGAATCCATGACGTTCAATTTTACCTAGCAAAAATGTTATCTCTGTTGAGAAATTTATACTTTGGTAAAATTTTACTATAACAAATTACACCTCAGCCTAAAGAAAAATGAAAAATTTATCACATCCTTTATAAGAACCAACATGCCTGGTAGTGAACTAACTCCTTGAAGTTCCATGAATGGACATAGATATGTATCACAACTCAACCACCGGGTTTACTTTTATCAAATATCAAAGTGATTGGAATTTGGAACCGTGTGAAATGCTGGAAGAAAATAATTGAGAGGAAGAAACAGTAAGCTACATGCATGCACTAAGTTCAGTTTCCTCAATTATGGCTGCTATTTGATTTGTTATTTCCTC